GGGGGGTCTGACTCTATTCTTGACTTCTGACGCTTTGAAATTTGACTATTTTAGGTATAATATATTAACTTAAAGTTGCCTGCGGTAAGAACTGGTTTTACATAATTTTACCTGCAGCAGGTCGACAGGTGGTAGATTTAAGCTTGCTCTTTTATAACATTCTCAATTATGAAAGAATCACAGCTCACACAGTTATCCAGTCAAATTTCTGTACTTGGGCGTAATTTGACAAAGAATCACAAAAATCCTGCTTATCTTATATTATCAGCCTGATCACTCACAAGTGTTGATGCAAGTTATCTAGAAGCACACATATCACTTATTTCACAAGGAGAAGTGTTAAAAAAAAAATGGCTGCAGCTTTCACAGGCAACTTACGCAACTACAGACTACAGATTTGTCAATGGTACAAAGTCAGAAAATCAAATATCTTCCATATTCTCTAACAATGGTTTATTTACGGGCATGAGCACTGTGGTTCGCCTTTCAAAAAAGTAAATTCAATAATAACCTTACCAGAGGTTTCTGTTCAAAAACACTTAATGTGTTGAGACAAAAGAACCTTAAAATATTTTCTGCTACGACAAGCAATTATACGACTGCCATTTATTTAATTTTTCAAATTACCACACAATTTGTCTCCACCTACATGCCCTAATTTGTCTCATACTAGCATTTAAAGGTTATGCCAAACGTGCAAGATAATTTGACTACCTGTAACAAAAGAAGACCCGTTAAATGTTTTAATTTTACATTCTGCATTTGGCTTACACAGCATCCTGCCAGAGAATAAAGATAAGCTGTAGTGAATTCAGGTACCTGGGGCTCATTTAACATCACATGGAGATGGCTAGATCCATTTTCCCATAGGAAGCACCTTTAACGAGTTCAACTTCCATAAAAACCATTCTAAATGGATTCTTATTAAAAGTCCATTGTGTTACACTGTTGCCTACAGTGACATGAAGTGTTATGTAAAATAATTACCTTATAATGATGAGCAGGTGGTGTTACAGTAAATGAATCTTGTCCAAGTAATAATGGGGTACACAGCACACCTGAATATTTTCTGTTATTGCGTTTTTTTACCATTATAAAAGTGGTGGAAGCATCAGATATGTGTTACAAAAGACGACTAAGATTGTGACAACGGTGACGATGCTGCCTTCTGCTAAGCATTATATGGGAATTATCTACATTTACTTCCCTAGAATTAAAAAAAAAAATGCTTGTGAAATATAATTCTAAAACTGAAATATTATGTGTATAATTAAGATATGATAAAATTATATAGATAAAGTATGGTGATGATGGGCTCTATATCCTATACCTTAAAGCCCCTGTTATGCTGGACTTAAGCTTACCACCACTTGGAGAAAAGCGCTTACAAACAGATGACACCTGATCTGTCATGACTCTGTCAGCATGCAGCATGTCTAACTTAACAGCATATTACATAATAAAGATAAATCCCACCAGACTTCACTGTGATGCTGATTAATAAAATCTTGGTAATATTCCCAGTTATTAAATCTATGTATATATTTATTACAAAAGGAGTTCAGATATAAATTTTAAAGAGAAAGGAACCCAAACTTCATGGATATGTAAAATCTTAATCTAAATTGATATCAGTGAAGGTGCACCTGTGCAGAAAGGGGTCTGGAAAAATATAATGCTGGGTGAAAGACATCAACTAAATTTCTGCTAATACTTTAAAACTTCTCCGGTCATAACAACCAAGAATTAATAAGTTGAAGAATGGCTGAGCAGAGAGGGTCTACAAAAATATACTCAGATTACTGAATCGCTACTTAAGCCCCCTTTACACTGGATGGCATCCTTTCTACGCCCAGGAGTACGGCCCGTTTGAGAGTGTAAAAATACTTGTCAACAACTGGCTGATCATTGAGCATTCATTCTGCAACCAAAGCAATGCTTGTGTCTCCTTTCTATGACCACAGCGATGCCAGTTTCATGGTCGCACAAAGGACGCAAAAAGGACACTGTCCAGTGTAAAGGGGGTTCTACCCACAGAATAATGCCATGGAAAAGAGAACTTACTGTCTAGGTTGACATCCACAGCCTGTACTGATAATACATGAAACAGGGTCCAGAGTCCACAAGGATAGCCCCTGTACTTCTCTGCACTCCCCTGGCAGGCAACCCACTTGGTCACTTCTGGCAGGTAAGCATCCTTAGTCTAGAACAGAAATGAAATTGAATTATTTATTTATTTATTTATTTATTTTTATTTTCTGTAAATAACATTACTATTGTCTCACTTCTAAATTCATGAGTTGCATTCATTGTTTATGATGGTCAGTTTTTAAAACTGTTAAGTTTTAAAACTTAACTAATTGTTTGAGTTTTTAACAAATTTTGGTTTTCTAAAACCAGTGGTTCTGAAAATAATATACATTTTCTGGTAATCAACCACTCAATTTTATAATGTAAAAATACTCAATAAATGTATAACTATTTAAGAGACCTCCTTTTTGTGAACCATTAGGTTTCTTTATATAATATTACTTGTTAGCCTTATCCTTTATCACAAGCACCATCTGTCTTAAAAGAAAGTGTGAAAATAATTTAATGAAAATCACTACAAAAACACATGGTCCCTTAGCATTCTATTACAAAGAAATAACAAGTTCTTCCCAATCATGGCTCTTAATGGTTTAACCTTTGTTTTGCATGCTATATGTATTTGGTCACCCACCTTAAGTTCCTTAACCTTAGCTTCCCACTCTTTGTCTGTGACCTGTCCACTGACACTCTGCATCCATTTATTTAGTGACCACAGGTACTTGACCACATGGGGCTGTCCAGGGAAATACTGAAATAGATGAACAAAGGCCAATAAAATGTTGCTTAATATTAACTTCTCTTGAATGGCATCCTATAATGTAAACTATGAGATTAGACTTATATTAAATCAATTATGGAAGGCTCTCTGCCTGGTTAACTGGATATGCCGGATGGTTGGATTTCTTTTACAAATAGCATCTTTTGAGAACAGAAAGATTTTCACAGACATGTGCAGTTACTGTATCTCTACAAGATGATATGTGATGAATTCTTAAAGATGCAGCAAATGCAAGATTGTAGGTTTCTAATTACACTTTTCAAGTGTTTTGCATTGTCCCATTACCACAGAGACCTTGTCATGTATCCTAACAGTCCACATATAAATGTGTATCAAGTTTTATTTTCATTCAAACACACGCACACACACTCATAAAAAAACAAAACAAAACAAAACAAAAAAAAAAAAAAAAAAAAAACAACGTCAAAATCACTACTGACAGTAACTACAAACAGGAGAAGAAATGTACTAGTACATCAATAAAAAGAACTGCATTCGGTTCCTCTGCAAAGCATAATAAAATGATCTTTGCAATGGAAAGTTACTTTCTTATAATTAATAGTAGTACACACCATGTGCTGTATGTCACAGTATTAGAAGTGATATATACCTTGGACAAAACACTGACATATGACTTCAATGCTGCCAGATCTTCACCTTTCACCACTTTAAAGTTGCAAATCTCTTTTCTAAATGAGTAATGAAGGGTGGACTCCAAATCTTGCATATATACTCTCAACCTACAAACAAAAAAGAAAAAAAAGATCTAGGAGTCAATAATAGTATGACACATAATAAATACTTGACAAATCTTTTCCCCAAGAAATGTGGCCAAATGGCACACCTGCTTACATAAGTTACTGATCTTATACCTACCATCATCTGGGGAAGCAGACAATTTTGACCAAGATAAAGATGGTCACTACCTCATAACAATTGCTTACAACATTAATGTGGAATGGTTAGCCAATTATCAAAAATAAAAATAAAAACAAATGATTTAGAATAAATAAAGAAAATGATAGAATTTTAGTGTCCACATGAAAATGCTTACATTCTTTTCTTACTGAGAAAAGTAATGACTTATTCAGGCTAAACTAATAGTGTGTCTTTGTTGTGATGGGCACCTACCCAGCATCAATAAGAAGTAAACTGCCATCATCCTTTTGAACCTCTCCTTCTTCTTCCTCCTCATCTATGCCAGCTAGGTTATACAGTTCTCGAATGAATACAAGACTCTTTGTTTCTCCTCTAATAAACAAAAAAGATGAGATAAATGTGCCAGTTGGTCTACCTTCTTTCTCTTAAGTAGAAAATAGTCAGGAATGAATAGTAACTGTAAGCTGCAGTTCCCATATGCTCTGAGGCAGTGTTGGATTATAAAATCTTTTGAAATTTGGCTAGTGAAAGTATTGATAACAAATGTGAAGTTGAAATAAAGCTGTATTAGTAAATTCAAAGTATGAAGCATACACGTTATAATTTTGTACCATTGCTTTAACTCTATCTGGTGAACTATGAGTATCAACTGTAACAATGATGCAATCAAGATAACTCAAACCATACTAAGAGTAACATTTCAACCTACAGTGCTAGTTCTGAGTAGCTCCCAGTTTTGTCAAGGTGAACAAGTGCTGGCAGACTGTCTACTTGAATCTTCCTCATATCCTGCTTTAGCATACGCCGCACGATTATCTTCTCACGGTATGGCAAGACAGAGAGGATCACCTGATGACACAAGATTGAAATATAATACAATGCATTCAACATGTTAACTATATTTATTCTCTAACTACAATTAATCATATTGTTTAGGGTTAGGAGCCATGTTTAAAACACACTGCTTTAAGAATAAAGTAATTTTTCTTCAATCAACAGCTTAATTTTGAAATAGTTAACCTCAAATATTTTGTTGTCTAACAGGACATCTTCATCAGGGAATGATTGTTATGATGAGACATTGAACTATTGGAGGTAAACTATTTAAGCTCTTGACAGAAAAAAATACTTTATTCTTACAACATAACACAGCTGATGAAATTCTTCTCTGACACAGTCACTGCTTTAAGAGTGAAGCAAATTGGTAAAGAAGAGGAGGGGGGGGGGNTTTAACATGTATTATATTTATAAAGACGGGCTGATTGACTACAAGGACTGCTGACACACCACTATTTCCAATCGCCACTATTTATCTACACTATATTGCCCGTGCAACAACTCACCAAGATTTTGAAGCTCTATCCTCCAAGTTTGCTAAATCCATAATATAATTGTGCGCATTAAATCTTTACAGACTTATATCCATATTTTTACATTGAATATACTTCTGACATTATCAAGTTCTTAAGAAAGCTACAGCTAAATACTGTAGGGTGTTCATTGACAAATGATGTTTGTTGACACTCTACAATACATATAAGCAACTTTCCCCTTGTCCACTTTCATCTGTATGTCATATTCAAACTTCAAATGTCAACACACATGTCCAGTTAGCTAATTTCATAATTCTTTTGTTATTTTTAATTTAAATCAAATTAAATTTAAATCTCATTCACGTCAATATATTTTCCACTCACCTTAATTGTGGGATACATATCAATCCCATATTCTTTGCAGAGAGCTGTATTGTAATCCTGAGCACAGTCAACTGCACCTACCCTTATCACTTGCCGCCAGCCTATGAAGATAAAAGATAAAATAGTAAAAAATATTTCTTTGCACAACCATGTATATTCATCTCAAGTGGAATTTCTTAAATGTTTCTGTCTTTCAAAAGTTAAAAATGTATTATCCAATCTTTTCCATGTTATTACCAACAAATCAATATTGTTGGTTATGTAGCATAAATTAAAAAGTAAACTGACATGGGTTGGGGAGGGGGCAGAAAAACATATTATTGATATTTAGTTATTAGGTACAACAGAATGGATTTTCAAATTTGCTTCAACCTTTATGATCCGTACAAATACACTGTCATCAGAAAAATTATCTATATAGCAGCTTACAGCAGTTCAAATAATGTTCCCAGTTTAAATGATGAGATACAGGAACATGAAATTCTTATCAAAACCATAATGTCATATCTTACTGTTAACATCAAATGATAAATTCTGATATCTGGGCCTATGGATAATGTAAAAATTACGTATTGTCGCTAATGCATTCACAAACTGTATCACCTACTGGGGTACTGTGAAAAGTTTAGTACAAGGCACATGTACATGATATGCCTTACCAGCTACCAAAAGATGCACAGTGTAAAACAATGAGACAGCTGTATCAGCAATAAACAGTCATAATACATCATTTTATACTGCTTATGTGGATTTATTCGCTCAGAGCATAATACAAAATGGTGGTATGTTTTATATGGACGGTACGTGACTGAAATCACACGTGATCAATCATAAATTACTAGTAGCACTACAAAACAATATTGCTCAGTGGGAAGCACACCAAATCAAAGGAAATTAATCGATTTAAACATTGCCTCATTTTCTGCACGAAAAAGGCAAAGAAATCAAAGTAGCACGACACATAAAGTTTATCTACCTTTCACAAACTGTGCCACTTTCAAATAAGTCGGCGCAAACCGTACACAATGTCCACACCAGCTGCTGTAAAATTCCACCATCCATGTGTTATCAGAGTTAGGGACAGTGTCTTTAAAGTTTGAGCCTGTGAGAACTGTCACAGGGCCATTTTCTGAATACAGTCCGCCTTTATTCTCCTGTGCTGTAGGGACAAAAACTAAAAAAAATACAAAAATCCAGGATAAACAGGTGCCCGTGTCCACCATCTTGTTACGTCATCACCGACTCTGACTTTTCAAGACTCCTGGCACAGTAGAGTGCCATAACAGATTGTGGTCTGCGCAGGTCTGCGCCCAAAGTCAGATTGGCTCCTAATTAATATACCGGTATAACATGCCCCATTAGTGAACTAAATAAATAAATAAATAAATAAATAAATAAAAAACTCTTGGTGATTTTTCGGTGAATTTGGTTAAAAAATACTGAACCAGTTTTGATTAGTTTGATGGTTTCAGCTTTATCATTTTTCAATTTAGGCGCTTTTTATGGAGAATGTGTGAAATATGAAAAAAAAAAAAAATCATACTGTGTACATACACTGTAGTAAGCACATAATCTGCAGCAGTGTCCCTAGGCTGCAGGTACATTACATTAGTAAACACACTCACTGTAGCATTCTAGTGGTGTCTTTGTTGCCTCATTTATAATGATTAATCGCAATTAAAACTGAAATTTTCTTCATTGAAATTCTTTGTACAGTGTAAAAGCTGGTGGTAAGACTGCATTCCTTTAAAATAAATCCACATAAAAAATCAAGCAAAGAAAAAAATGCTGTGATGAAGCACACATTCAAGTACATCTTTTACATGTTCCTAAATAGGACGAAAGAGAATAGGCCTACGATTCGCCAGGTATGTTCATATAGACATATACAGCTTGAGGAGAAGGGGCATTTATCACTTATATATAACTAAATGGTCTTCATAATTTACTATTGATTTATGGGAGCATTGTTGCTTTTCATTTTACTTTGCATCGAAAGTCTGAGGAAGTAGGCCCTATGACCCCATTCCCAGAGATTAGATCGATCTACGTTAGATCGACCTAACTCCCTGGGGGTTCACGCTAAATAGCTATCAGCCGAGCGGGCACGAAAGTTAATTAACCCCTTACAGCTTGTAGTAGGCGGGACGGACATTTAAGCCGGATTATCTGACAGTAATCTAGTGAGACTCCCCGCGGGGATAAATCGATCTAAAAGCTCTGGGAATACGCCCTGTAATTCATTGTTGGCCTCCCCCAAAAGATACAAACTATGTGGTGAACGAATGCCAATGAATTAACATAATGGCCAAGTTGAAGCCGAGAAGATCTCTAAATTAAATATGATGTTTAATCATTAAAAATGTTAATTTATGCCCTACTAACATTGACCAGTGATTGATGTGACTCTTGAGTTGGGAGTGTTGCCACATAGGACTTAAATAACTACTATTGCGTGCAAATGATGAATAAAACGTGACTTTTTAGAAAACACAGAAGTAATTCCTTTAAACACCTTGCTGGAAAAAATGGGGAAATAGTAGGCCTACAGTCTATTAAGTGAAATTGTCATTTTTGGTTTCGGGATTGTCTAATTGCCATGGCAGCCATTTTACATTAATCACTTAAAAAATGGACAGTGCAAATTCTACCAGTAAATAAATAAATTAAATGTCATCAGGCCAATCAATGGTTATATGTATGACTTCTAGCTGTAGGTCTCTACTGTGGAACCAAAATGGCTATAAAATCAGTATGGCGTAAATGTGTTATAACCTTGGACAGCGCTTACCTATAAAATCAATGGGAACCGGACCCCACATCAGCTACATGTGTATCATTATCATTCATGACACTGGGTGTTTTATAAAAAATCCCAACGACCCTAATTCACCTTTGATACACACACACACTCACACACACACACACACACACACACACACACACACACTGATAACCGAACGAAAAAGTTGACCGAACCCTGAGTTCAGAATAACAATATGCCCATAGGTGGCCCCCTTTTATAAAAATATTCGGGTAAACATTCAAATATGCTGAGTATATATGGCTCAGTCCGGTAAGAAAGAAAAAACATCATGTACCTGTTCAAGTTCGTACAAAAAGATATTGCGTTAGTTTAAACACAATCGTTTATTATCATTTACTTGTGTAACAGATGTTTTATTTGTGTTCTAACCTCATGAGGGCCACGGGCGAAGATGAATTTTTATGTTTACCATGTCTTTACCCTCGTTAGATAAAGTTAGATAAATGAATAGATATTTATTTCTATGCAAAACCTCCGCCTACATACACTGTACTAGTATACATGACGTTAATAGGGATGTCTTCGTTCGCGCTTTATAAGGTGCCTTAATGTCTGCTATGAAAATAGCTTATTTACCAAATGTTTAACAAGATGTTCATGCACATGGCTAAAGGTTACAAACCTAAGGGGGTGAATATCTTTCGCATGCAGATTCACCTGAGATTATTTTATATTCTTTTGTAACAGCCTGACATGCAGGGTATTATGTTTTTCACAGCCTGTAGGCCTATATGCCGCATAAAATACCAGTAAATGCAGGTAGGATGGTGCTTCATTGAACGGATACATACTGCGTGGGATTTAATAAATAAATCCATCATTTGTGGTACAGAAAAATTACATATACATGATTTCAAACAAGCCCCTTGCCATTTGTTATGCGACAAAAATAGTAACAGGTGACATATCCTAAAGGTAAAGGAAGGGTAGTAGAAAATTATGTTGCCACGATTTAAATGCATGTTAAACCGAGCGTGATTGGTTACTTTCAAATATGTCACATGGTGACAGAATATTTATTAAAAACCATGATCGAGGTGAAAAATATTAGATTCCTTGGCCTGACTTGCCTTAGGTTGTTTCAACGCCAGTCTTTCTGAATCAGGTGAGTTTTGGTTGTTTGCTGCCTTAAAATATGTCACTTAATTATAAATTGTGACTTGAGTTCTACGTACAGTACTACCAGCTATTTGTGTGCGTTGTAAGAAATCATTCATGATCAGTGCAACAGTTTTTGTGCATTTGACAGATGTTTTATGACAAAATAACAATTACATTTTACAGTGCACTGTTTGAAAGGACTGAAATTTGGACGCATTAAATAAGCACTCATTATCAATGACGCGTTGGTCCCCCCCTGAAATGTTTGCAGCAAGCTAACGAATAATTTGCTGCGAATTTGCTGCAAACAAAAGAGTTTGCTAGAAACTGTTTGCAGGTTGTTGCAAAAAAAAGTGGTTACTGCAAATTTGCTAAAAATTTGCGAGACCATCTAAGTTTCCAGCAAGTTTGGAAAAAGCCTTCAAATCCTTTCAAATTTTAATCAGTACATCATTTGCATCGTAAATTCCATTTTGCAAACAAATTATCGTGGAAATTAAAAATGTTACTACTTTATATAAAATTTTTATTTACAATTAAAAAGACATCCTTACCCCCTTCTAAAAGAAGCTGGAGAATCTATCCTTCATAGTAAAAGTGGAAGTAAATTCCATTCCCTTGGAGCAGCGACTTTAAAAGAATTGTCACCATATGTGAGAAGTTAAGTTTTAAAAGGTGTTTAGAGTGGATGGTCAGCTGGTCCGGGAGTGGTGTCCGTAAGTTGATACAAGATTGCATAAACAAGGTGGGACCAAATTGCAAAGAGCAGCTTGAGCATATACGAAAAGTTAAAAAAGAGAATCCATACTCTTATAGGTAGCCAGTGCAGTCGTTTGGGAATAGGGGTGGAATAAAAAAAAAATCAAAGTAAAAAAAATGTCATTTGATATTCCTTTTTCTCATTGAATGGTATTTCAAGATCGGCATTTGGAATATTAAATGAAAAGTACACAAATGGAGTATTCTGATGGAATAAATCGCCCATTTCTTCTTTAAAAAGTTCTCCCAGTGCTATTATAAGCTTTCCAGTGTCGAACGATAAGTGGTTATAGTACAGTAAACAGAAATAATATAGGTTTTTCACAAGACACGATTCGGAAATCCTTGCGGCTAATTTAAAACTAACCGTGGCAGCAAAACCACAAAGTTTTTCATTTTAACATTAGTATTTTGCATAAGGTCTTGGTTCTCTTTGTCACCATAAATATAATGTAGTTACCTGTCTCTGTTGACACTTAATGACACATTTGGTCTACAATATACACTGATGCTCATAAGTTAAGCAACACTTTCTTATTTCTCGAATTTCTCAGCAACCAAAATTTTTATTGAGGCAAAATTTGTACAGTAGCTAGATATTTCTCTTGTTTTTACTTTGACTTACTGGACCGTGACATTAGAGTACTGTTTACTGTTGGACACGGTAGAATATGCAATGGGGGTGCCACTTGCGAAAAACACAGTTTGGCCATGCTATGAGGAGCTTCCAGTTTGGCTGGTTTCATGGGCACAATTTGTTATATTGGACCAACCAATGGTTATAAGAGGACTCAACATGGTAATCAGATGGCAAATAATGGGAAGCCATCGTGCTGGGGTGCCAAAGACAGATTGCAAGGCAACAAAAAAGTAGCACCAAGTCAAGTGTCCAAGCTGGTAGCAAAATGGCGCCAAACTCATCATGTATTGGACAAGCCTCTTTCCGGTAGACCAATATTAACTGAAGCAAGAGATGAAGATATCTGGTTCGATTATGCCACCAGGACCAGTTCATATCGGCCAAAAAAACTGAGGAACACCTGGCCTGGATTAGGAACGGCTCGAATCAGAAGGCAAACAGTCAACAGGCATCTTTTAGAAGCTGAACTTCCATCTAAAAGACCTCGTCAAAAGCCACAGTTGACCAACAGACACAAGCAAATAAGACTGACATGAGCCAGAAAGATGGAATCTCAGGACTGGGCGAAAGGTCCTGTGGACTGAGGAGACCAGATTCACTTTGATGTATGCAGATGGTCAACTAGGTGTCTGGAGACGTCCAAACCAAGCGTTTCAGGATGACTGTGTTCTTCTGCGTGTTCAGAATGGTGGAGTATCCGTCATAGTATGGTGCGGTTTCTCATATGATGAAAAATTGGCACTGTAAGTCATTCAAGTGAGGTACCCTGGTCAGCATTACAGAGACGAAATACCATTGGGGCGCATTCAAACACACATTCAAGCAAATCCAGGAAGAAAAAACATTTTGGTGCAGGACAAAGCGCCCATCCAGAAAGCACGGTCCGTGCAAGACCCGCTGCAACAGCACCGTATCCCACATTTGGATTGGCCTGCATATTTACCAATTCTCAATGTAATCGAACATGCTTAGGATATGATTGACAGGGCAGTAAATGAGAAACAACCTCCAGTTAGAAACATTACGGAGGTCCAGCAGGCAATAAATGAAGAATGGAACCGGCACCAAAAGCAAGATTGGCAGAATTTGGTGGCAAGTTGCAGGAGACAATGTGAAGCTGTTGTTCAAAACCGGGGAAGGCACACCCGATATTATTGCATAATAGACGATTAATCATCTATTATCTACAGTGTTTCTTTATTAAAACTTATTCTTAGATGATTGGACTTTATTTTTTTCATAATAAGCTGTTTTAATCAGCACGCACTTTTTGCTGTGTGAGCATACTTTTTTGACATATGGTTTGGCATATTTTAGTACCGTTTGGTTAATAAAGCTATTTTGATTATTACAATAAGCTATGTGGTGTATTTCTTTACCGAAATATTCAACTTGAATAAGTTATTTATAAAATATGAAAGAAATATGCATAATTCCACCAACAAATGAAATAATGATCAAGATAGAAGGAACTTTTGAAAAAATCGGGGTGTTGCTTAACTTATCAGCATCAGTGTATATACCTGGAGAGGTCATCTCGTGTTAGAGTATAAAAGACATCAAATACTCTTTGATGTCTTTTATACTCGTGAAATAAACAGATTGATGGATAAAAAATAAATGTAACTTGAGGCTGATCAAATTATACTTGAAACTGACAATATTTTAACAAAAGAATATCCACTCTAAGTTTTTTAAAGAGAAAACAAGGGTTTTCATCGTCTTAAATAACCTCTCCGCGTTTGGTTCTACCGGTATCTAAAATGATATCAAAGTATTTTTCTTTCTCAAAATTAAGTTTGAATGTTGAACCATATTTTGTAATCTTGATTAGAAAATTCCTGTGATGCTTAACTATGCATAAGCCATACATTGCGAAATACAATACGTTCTTCACCAGATATTTCCTTACCACTCCACTCCACAACATAGGCTTACCGGTACTGTGACTTGCATTATGAAGTTTGGAGATTACAAGAAGATCAGTGTGTTTTTAATTCGTCTAGGTATATTCCCGCTTTTTTTTAGTTGGGCCAATCGCTCCAACAACTCTCGTATAGACAGATACCAACGTCTATTTCCAGCGGTTAAATAAGGCTAAAACATATTTGGGTAAAAACCATACTAAACGTGACCCCAGGTTGCTATTAACATCATTTCATTTTATCTTACATATTCATATTTATTTTTCAGTTGACCAGACTCACCGTACAGCCAGCATGTTGTCGTCATTCATTTTGACCGTTATCTTCACCAGCCTTGTCTGCTGCACTGCTGGTGGGGTTGTCGAAGGTATAAGCATGCAGACAGTATTCGATTATCTAAATTTTTGTACAATCCCTGAGAGTTTTATTATAAATATGGTTTAACTTCCTTATGTCATCACTAACACATTAATGGTGTAAATGTTCAAGAGGTGATTTTCCGTAATCAAAGTGACAAATAATTAGTTTGATAACAAAAGAAAATCTTAAAGAAGATGGTAATAGTTTCAGGTCGGGATGACTGAAATAAAAAAAATGATCTGGAAGACCCATTTTGTCACAGTATGTTAAACGAATAAATACATAAACACATATTAGTAAGTTGAATTTGACTCTGGAAAATAAGGACATAATGTCAAAATACGATAAAAACTCCTTTAATCCAGATACTGCTGTCAAATTACGCGCCTTTTGGACCTTTATTTAGTCAAAGGAATAATTGCTGGACGAGTAACGCAATTTCATTTCAGAACTTCATCATATTCGCTCAAAGCGAGGGTTGGCCGATTACGGCAATTGGTGTGGAGCGGAGACCACTGGAAAGGGCTTGCCTTGCTGCACGTGTGATAATACAGTAGACGAATGCCGGTGTGTTTTTTATTATTTATTTATTTATTTATTTATTTATTTATTTATTTATTTATTTATTTTTGTTAAACTGAACGTAATTGACTGGTTGATCTCATATGCAAGTAGTAGTAGATGTAGTGAATGTAAAAACACTTGGGAATCACAGTACGTTATTGTATGTTTAAACAACTTGAGTTGCATGTACAGTGGTCGGAATAATTTTGTTTCCGTTGTACACCGGTGTAACAACGTTCGAAATGTTTTAATCCCTATCTTGTGAATAGAAGGGGGCGGACAAACAATGGAGGGCCGTATAAATCCCTTCAAAATTGGAACGCACAAACACAATAGCTTAGGTGGAATAACACAATACTTAATACGAGTGAACCCCATGACGCCGGTTTCTGTGGCCCAGCGCGAGCGTGACAATCCGCTGTAACTAGGTGTAATTAACAGCAGGATACATCAGCCAGAAGGTCCCTATTGTTTGTTGCGGCGATAGGATTATAGCTTGAAGAGGCTAAACCCATGCTAAGGCGTGCCACGCGAAGCGAACTGTCCTTTTGTTCACTAGTTTGGCACGCGCAGCTGGTTTTTAGTGTTGCTAACAAACTGCTAAT